ATCTTCATCTGAGCATCAACAGCTGTCTGAGCTAGGTGCACATACACACATATAGAGCTATGTGTCACAAATTTGCGGGTTCTGMTTATTTTCACTCGCATTTGTGATTTCTTTTGCCGAAATCCTGCTTTGTTCCAAGACTTGAGGCAATGGAGCATGTTGAGACACTGTGTATTTCCATTTCTGCCACATCTTTCCCTTAAATCCCATCAGGAGCTTTTAGAGATGGTAAAAGTGTAGTGAAAGGACTTGTAGTTGATTTTATCTTTGCAGTTTCATGTCAGTAGTAAGGCTTGTTTCAACTTCTACTCGACTTGCTCGATAAAGGTTGGAACTGATGGTTATTCAGACTGGACTGTGTGGTCACGCACAGCTGGGTAGGTTGGGGTTCTGACAAGCTCTCAGATGACAGCACTTACCTAAAACACTTTTCTCTCATCCTGTCTCTATGGTAAGTACATAAAACACTGTGGAAACATTGACATTGGGCAAGTAGACCTGTTGTCAAAAGGTGTTAGGGCTCCTACTAATCTCTCTTCAGGGAAAAAAAAATTCTTCCCCAGCATACAAACTTGGCCACTACATTAGTTACTCAGCTGCTTGGCAGCTCCTTGTTGGAAATARTAGGAACAGAATACAGCCCCTAATAAAGTCGAGGAAAATTTGGCAAGTACTTGAGTTAGCCCCTGATTTCACCATAGGAATAGTGCAGTTCAAAAAAAGGAGCTCTGAGGCATGCCAGGGGAGCTCTTGTCATCGCTGGGATGAGGGTTATTTCTGTGTTTTTATTGATGCAAGTAGAGAGTGCTTTTTGGCAGAGACTGAAGGCATGAATTTGCCTTCAGTGTCATTTTGTTGGCCTGATTTCTGGTAATCCTGTCCCTTTCACTAGCTCTGAGGAGAGAAGATGCCACTCTTCTGGTTGTAGAAGAGCTGTTGGGAACTAAATGACACTGAAACACCCATTATCTCTTGGAAATAATTTTCTGATTCTGCCCATTGCCTGCTTTTTGGAAAATGTTCTCCACTAGTGAATACATTTGGAATTTTAGGGAAAATAATCGTTGCATGTTTGCAATGGAAGCTTTCAGAAATGTTCCCATCTGATAGCACTGTTCTGCTCCATAAATACTCCTAAACTGCCATCAGTTTTCCTAAGATGTCCTACCCTGTCTGTGGGATTGGCTTGGCACTGGCTGCTGCTTTCGGTGTTTCCTCGCCCTGCACCACTCAACACTTTCCTTGTTGATATGTGATTATGGCATCACCGTSCCTGTGTTTTTCCCCTTCTTTAAAAATAAGCCCTGCACTTCAAAAATAATAAGGTATGAGTTGTCATCTGACTGGAAGAAAGGGAGCTTTGTGGATATTTATAACATGCCTAGTGGCATTTCAGAGCCCTGAGGAAAAACAAGGCTGCTTCCAGTGTTCAGCGATGTGGGATGTGGCAGGAGGCAGCGGCAGGGATGTACCAAGAAGGSGATTTTTTCCAAGCTGTTACTTAACTGATATTAGCATTTGAAGGCACATAAGGCCTGACCTTTAATCCTGTGTGTAGACTTGCTGATCTGCTTACTTGAATGCCTCATTGTAGTGCTGCAGAATGGAAGGGATTGCATCAGACCCRAGAGAAATCTTCTGTCACCAGAACTTGCCTGTTTAGGTGTGTGGCTGCATGAGCCCATCCCACACTGAACATCTGCAAACTCAGAGCTTTCTGATGCACCTCCCTGATCTCTCCTCCTGTCTGAAGTTGCATTCATCAGTGAGCGATCATTCATCTCCAAAGCTCAAGCCTTGCCTTATGAGCTGACAGAGAGTAGCCCCACTGTGTAAAAGGACAGTCCTGACTTGGGGTCTTTCCCAAAACTTTAAGTGCTCCCAGTTACACATGGACTTCTTGCAATTCACTTCTGTAGCAATTCAAACTGTGGTGGTTAATCAGTTTTATGGGGCTTTAGTGGAAGAGGTCGGTGGGTTTTATTACATTCATKTGAGAAGCTGGAGCCAAGAATGTAAAATGAAAACCGAAGATGAAGAGTACCAGGGTTTGTGAGGCAACCAAGTATGTATGTGATACTGTGCAAAGTCCAAAAAAGTCTTCTGTCTAAACTGGTAGCATACTTCAGAATAAATTTTGAAGTCACAGCTGTTGTGAGAGGCTCCAAAGCTATCAGCCATGCAGGAGGGCAAGCTGAGAAATAGTTTAAATAGGTGGGACTGATACACCAAAGCTGTGCTGAGGTCTTTGTTGCTGTGAGTTTTCTGGGAACACACATTCTGCATCTGTGTAGGTTGTGACGTGCTTGCAGTGTCAGCCTGGGGAGAGGATTGAAGTGATGGGATCTGATACACTGGAAAACCAGCTGGCTGAGGGGACCACTTGGTCAGGTTTGCAGGGGTGTTCGGGCTGTGTCCCGACATGCATTCGAAAGGGCACCAATACAAACACAAAATGTTAAGGTACCAATACAAACACAAAATGTTAAGGCACCAATACAAACACAAAATGTTAAGGCTGTGCTGCTGTCTAGGGGTGATTGACAGCTCCAGACACCGTCATGGCATGTCACTCTGCCAGCAGCCTGTGGAAAGCTGCTCTGACATAGCCAACCCACTTGGCAACAGAGCCATGGCTGGCTCACAGTGCCTGATGACTCAGTTAAGTCCTGGAGTTGTTATTGCCGTGGAAGAAATCGTTCTGTTCTTTAATTCCTTTGTGCAGCCCATGGATCAGTTGGGTGGTATCCTGCCAAGGCCTGTAGTTAGAAGAAATTATAATGCGAAAATCTTTTGGGGCTGGGCAAGTCGTGACTGTAGATTCTGCATTGGAGCCGATAGTCCAGCAGGGTTTTCTTTTGTCATCAGAAAGTTTAGCAGCAGCTCCAAATAGACTTTGCTTGGTTCCTGCTCAGCAGCAGCTGGAGCCACTCTTGGTGCCAGCCCACCCACATGAGCAGGACAGGGCACGCACACATTCATCCTTTTCTYCCCCTGCTGATTTATCATGTGTTGTCATTACCCAGGAGACAGATCCCAATAGCCCTCATCTTCCCATTTCTGTTGCACACTCATACCAGGAGCTCATGGCTTCATCCTTCTTATTCCTCTACTTTCTGTCAGGTTTGTCGTACTTAAGCAGGGGTAGAGCTCATGAGCTGCTGTTTGGGAAGCCAAGGTCTGAGCAGGAGCAGCAGTGATTTTTATTTTATATCTGGTTTGGTTTTTGCTTGGACACCATGATAAATGTGAGTTGCAGTTATGACAAAAATCTACCTGGCGGGTTCAGGTCTGTAAGATGAACTAGTACTTGTGTGAGAGTCTGTTGTGCTCCAGGAGTTTGTACAAATTCACTCTGCTTCACATAGCTTAGGGTGGTTTCCCTTCATTATGCTTACATTTAAGAGTTTTGGGCAATTTTGAGACACACAGCATTACTTGTCACYCTCACAAACTGAGTTGTGTAGGAGAGGTGGCAGTTTGGAACCTGATTCTGCATCTCAGCTGCTTCCCTGRATTAGTTTACCTGAAATTAAGGGCACAAAGGTGCACTTCTTTATTATTCAGAGCAATGGGAGCCATGCACCCCTCTCCTTTTCCTTGCCCTAAAGGTTGCCTGTTTCAAGCACTTTTCTGAATGATCACAAAAATCCTAATGCAATATGAGGTTGAATGGGGCACTGAAAGCCATCCTCCCAAGGCATTGTCTGTCTCTAGAATCCTGCACATCCCTTGCAATGCAGAGGCAAAGCTGCAGGAAGAGAGCATGAAGATGTTAGAGCATTTTTGATAATGAAGTGCAGGGTCTGCACGGAGGGAAGGAAACGAGATGGGGAATTGCTCAGTCCGGGTTTAACGCTGAGGTTTGGGCTGGCTCTGATTGAGGATTCGCTGGCCTCTAGTGGTGATGCTGGGGAGAAGCTACGAGAAGTAGTGTGTTAGCTCTGTGCATGTTACTATGTGTACTAAAAGGCAGGAAATGTGACAAAACATTTTGGGTTTGAACGCTCCATTTGCTCCAGAAATTGTTAAAAGGAGGACCTGGACTGCTGTGCAGGAAGTCCCTTGATTTTTGCAGTGTCTGTTTTAGACCCCTGGGACTTGAGGGATCTGCAGTGTCTGCATTGAGAATGGATGGTTTTTAGATCATTGCAAGCAAATTGTATAAAACTAGAGTACAAGTCAAAAATTAATCTTAAAAAGCAAACAGAACTTAATATCAAAACTTYAAAARGAGRTGAATCTCATAGWATCCTRGAATGGTTTGGGTTGGAAGGGACCTTGTTAGTAGTGAAAGGTGCARTGTTTTACACAGCTCAATCATGAGAGACTTATGGAAAATTTATTTTAAAATAAATTTTAAAAGATCAGGACTGGGAACCAAACAAGTTGGGTTATGGTTTGGTTTGGTATTGAGGGGAGGGGGTGTTTGGGGTTTTTTTCAAGTATGAGTTTTTGTCGCTGTAGTGTCTGTGGCTAAAGGAAAATGCACAATTTCATCAAGTAGGTTCCTCACCAAAAGATGCTAGTAAGCTCTTCTCAATTAAATGTCCATCCCTTTGAATTTTTCCTTCCCTTCTTCAAGCCTGCCTTCTTTGATCCCTGTCTTCCTTCCTTATCTCTCTGTCCTTAGTCTCAAATAATCCACTTTATTAAGAGCTAGAGTACATTCAGGGCCATATCCCTTTGAGCCACGGTTTTGAGAAGRGAGTGGAAGGAAGATTAAGTTTTCATAAGAGCTCTTGGTCTTTTCAATATATTTYACTCTTTGACAAACACATTGATATTCATCTCTGGTACAGCCATTTTTGTAAGTCATGCTGTAGATAAATAAGTATTCAKAGCACATGGGTGCCAGGAGTCTCATTTTGACTTCTAAAATGAAACAGGCCCCACTAAGCACAGAGTGCAGTTTTGGTTCACACCTTGCTGCAGAACAGCAAAAACAAAGGAGGTGGTTAATGGCACATGCTAATGACATTGTGGTTTTCTGTTCCCAGATGTGAAAGGACCACCTACACACAGATTGTCCTGTGGCCAGTCCCCCTACACTGAGATGACAACATGGGAGAGGAAATACTGCATCCTGACCGASAGCCAGCTGGTGCTGCTCAACAGGGAGAAGGAGGTGAGAGAAGCTCAGTATTGCCTTTTGGCCTTTATTGATCTTTAAGGAAAACGCAGCTTTCTTCATCTCCCCTTTATTTCACCCATGAATCCTTTGAAACAAGTGCAAGGGAGGGGAGGGAGTTAAAGAAGAAATTCTTTACTGTGAGAGTGGTGACACACTGGAGCAGGTTGTCCAGGGAGGTTGTGGGTGCCCCATCCTTGTAGGTGTTCAAGGCCAGACTGGATAAGGCCTTGAGTACCTGGTGTAGTGGGACGTGACCCTGTCCATGGCAGGGGTTTGGGACTGGGGGATCTTTAATGTCCTTACCAATCCCTTACTGCTCTGTGCAAAGGGAAGCTGAGCTCTCCTGTGTGTGGATGGTGTGGTGCACACAGTTCCAATCCAGCTGGCCCAGATACTGGACAGAAGAGGTGCAGCAGCCTGGGTGCAAACTCCTTCCTGGAGTTTCACAGCCTGTGTTTGCCACTGTGTCTTCCTGTGTTATTACTTCTTTTTATGGTAATTAAAGCCACTGCAGGTGTAAGCCTGCCTCCTTATGTCAGTGCAGGCATAAAGGTAGGAAAAAGTGAACGCTTTTTTATCCATAAGTAGYCTAATACCATAGTCTCCTATATTTAGAGATGACCTGAATTTTTGTGGTTTTTCTTGACTCTTTTGAAGCTTCTGTGTATGGCTGTTACAGACTGAGACCTGTTTCTGGTGTAGAATGAAATATTACTCAGCTGTGCTCAGGTTTATTTGCAATGAAATATTCCCTTGCWCAGGGAGAGTAGGAGGAAATGGTTTAGAGAAGGACTTGAGTTATTAGAAGGGAGCAGAATTAATGCTGCTGTGTGGGAGAGGTGATCAAACACAGGCAAAATGGAAGGCTCATTTAATGACATTTGTTTACTACGTAATTCTTTTTCTAGTCTGACAGGACTGACACCTGAGGAATTRAAGTATACACTGAAGAAACTTCAGGGGATGTGAGAATCATTTCTAAAACAGTGCTGTACYAGCATAGCTGGACCAAAAGGATTCACCTCATTAAAGGAATGTAATTGTAAACAACACTGGCTCTATCACAAATAATTACCTGGAGGTGGTAATCATGCACTTAGGGGCTCTTATTTCTCCTACCAGAGACAGTTGAAAGCATTTTGCTGGGAGTAAGATGAGTCTTTTGCCTAGATCCTGAGGAGTAAATATGGGAAGTCCCATCTATCACTGATGTGTTAAGTCATTATATACTATGTTTGAATACACTCTGTTTTTTTGTCAGAAGCTGAGGAAATTCAGTATCAGGCTCTAGAGAACCTGAGGCTTAAGTGTAGCAATAACCCCAAGAAAGCAAGCAATAGTGTAAATTCTTGCAGTAGCATAAATTCTTGCATTCTCAAAGGAATATTCCTGCTCTACCACAGAGAAATAGTTTGTTTTKGGAAATGCTGCATGCAGATGGGCCAAGCAGACATGCCTTTGGTGCAGGTGTGACTCCACATGCTGATGATGGGATTTGTTTCAGAAGCCTATACCTGGAGTCAGATTTGCCATTCTGATTTTCAGGTAATTCGTGACTACTGTGAAGTGAAAGGAAAAAGGGAACTTCTTGTGGAGCCATGAGTGCTCTGTAGGAAAATAAGAGGTTGATTTAGTCTGGCTTCTGATCTGTACACGCAGCAGTGTGCAGACAGTCCCTTACACAACATATGGAACTGCCAGTCAGGAGGCACATACAGGGCTGATACTCTGGATTTACACCTTCTTCTAGTTTTTCTGAGCTAAGAGTATCCCTTTGCAGCCTCCATGAGAAAGGGGAGGAGGGGCAATGCAGTTAAATTTTTCTTGGCAAGTCATTCAGAGTTGAAAGAGTCTCCTTGAAATGTGATCTAGAAACAGGAGTGCACAAAGGCCTAAGGCTGCAGTGGGGAGAGATGCTTGTTAAGAGCATAATGATGGAAAAGTATGTACAAGGGGAATCATAAAAAGCTCTGGGGGGGACCACTGCTACAGGGAGCCTAAGCAAAGATGAGGTGAATGAAGAAGATGGAGGTTACTTTAAGGAAAAATTGAAGRTTATGTTTAGAGTAAAATTATTGGAAAGGTGATCCTGGAAGAAGTGTTTGGTCAGCTCAAAACCATCAACAGGCAACAGGAGCAGGAGAGATTCCTGCTCTGAACATGTCATTGCTGATAGAGTGAGTAGGTCAGAATTCCTTTGGCTGCTGAAGAGGATCTTAGAAACAATATTCAGGACAGAAAGATACCCACCAGTGAGGATGGATGGGGAAAGAAGGAAGAGATGGTAACAGCAGGCCCAGAGGGAGCACTTGCATCATCACAAAGCTGATGTAACTTAAAAGGTGTAAGTCTGAAACATTTTATTCTCTGTGGATCTCTGTGGATATTACTTCATTCAATGAAAATCCAAGAAACTTGGCCCATGTGAAACTGGAAGGGAACAGAAATGTGTGTGTGTGTAGACTACTTTTACAAATCCTTCTGCAAATATATGTGTTCATGTTAGGAAGTAGAAAAACATATACAAAATGTAAACAGGTAAATGAAAGAGTTTTCCATTGGTTCAGGTGTAATGTGAAGTTTGGCTTCTTTCAGTTAGTGCTGCTAAAATACAGCATTATGAATTGCAGATTTTTAAGACCGAGGGAACAGTACAGAAACAAACAGTGTAGTAAAGAAAACTCATTTTTTATAGCATCCCACCACTATGGATTTATTGTCAAGGCAGTTTGAACAGAGTACATGAAAGAGAAATTTTGTGCTGTGCAAGAGCAAGAATAGGTTTAAAATCAAAAGCATKTTGAAGTGCAGCTTGATCCAAAAATATCTGTAATTACATAGACAAAAATAGTCTGGCAGTATCACCTTGTGTAGTGTAGAAAAACATTAATTACTTGACACCTTGTCAGCTTTATGGAATGAGAATAGGTGAGACTGAAGAATGAAAATTATTAATGAGAGGAAGAGATCAATGCCCAAAAAGTAAGTGGAAAGAAAATGAGTTCCTGCAAGAGCATGAGACAACTTAACAAATAAGAAGTCCTGAGTGACAGGAGATGTGCAATTACTACACATGTTCTGGTGTGATAATATTTAACAGCATTTTCCAAGACAAGGAGAACAARTCTAGATTGATGCCCATACAAATCAGGTATTTTTTGTACAAGGAAGAGTTTTCCCCTGTCAGGAAGGTGTAGATGTTTTCATCTGCTCTGTGAAACCTTGATAGGGTAGGAGGAGCTGTGAGGGTGCAGTAGAAGTGTCTGTAAAATCAGAGCCATTTAAAACAGGGAATGAGTGTTCATGAAGGGTGGCTCCAGCACTRTGCACAGCTCTTCATGAGGGAAGTGACAAATGGCTGCACCTGGCTTTGGGCTGCATTTTAGGTAGACTTTGTCAGCAACTTGGCTGGAGTCCTGCAGAATGTTTTAGTTTCGTGTTCACTTGAAAATGAAGAYGGACAACACTTTTCATTGTTTTAGACTATTCCTTTTTCTTCYCTACACCCAAACCTCATCTTTCTTCTTGGATTTAGAGGTGGTTTCAATAAAGGGCAAAGGATAGCAAAGATCTACATTCACTGTGCCAAGATGTACTGCTTACTGGAGCTGGTGACAGAGGCCAGCACCAGGACACCTGGGATGTATTTTCCTACTCTTCCATCTCCTGTGGCTGACACCAATAGTGGTATGGCAGWGGTGATCCCAAGGGAAAGCAGCAGGAGCAAACACTGCTGCATGAGGCCCTAGGGGAAGTTCTTCCCAGATCCCATGGCCTTTCTCAAAGGACTTGTCATACAGCAAATRTATTTCACCTGTATATAAGAGTTTGTCAAAGCTGAACCCAGTCATAAGATAAGATTTGCCTCAATTCCCAAGCAAATTTAATTATTTATTTTCCAAAAGCCCAGAGAAATGCTTGCTGTCAACATTTTAAAGTGGATTTCCATGTCAAAATTTTAGCTGGCTTCTAACTTTCTGTAGGAAGGTAAAAATTAAAATGAATTATTTAACTGTTTTTCTGTCATGATTCTAAACTTCCAGACTGTTAGATCAGAAGAGTCTGCAAATTCTCAAGTTTCTGTCTGGAACCAGTATCCAATCTTGAAAAATCTTATCTGCAATGAAGAATCCTTTTTCCCCTGCTTTTTAAAAAAGAGACTATGTTAGTTTGCCTTTAAGAGGCATTAATGCTCTCAGTCATATTTCTTCTGAAATTCCCTCATCATCAAACTGCCAGAAATCCCCAATACAGGCTTTTTATACTCAACAAGCATGTTCAGTGGGCAGGTGACCTGGGATGCTGTTCAAGGATTTCGAGCCTGAGCTCTGAACCCATCCACATTAAATTGTGAAATTCATCATGGAAACATGCCCTATAATGAAAATTGTTAGGATTGCCGAAATGGTCAGCATTTGGACTGTCCCTGTGTACCTTTTTCTCCCAGAGTTAACACTGCTCAGATCCTAGCCCTGAACCAGCAGCTTCAGCATGTCAGCTCAGGGTCGGAGAATTCCCAGGGTGGTGAAATCTCAGCAGAGCAAAGAGMAGGGTAACAGAGCTGGATGGGGGAAATAAATGAACTGAAAGGCTCATTACCATCATTCTGACTATGCAAGACTGTATGTCTTGGTTATAATATGTAAATTTGATTGAACGAATATGGCATAAACTAACAAAATTAGTCTCTGTTTAACTTACTAATGTACTTTTACACAGAGATTATGCAGATTTTACAGYAGAGCTGCTGTAAAAATCACCAGCAAAGACAATAGTCTAAACAGAATAAGCACGTGGGGTTTGGGAACTTGTTTTGAAAAATGAACACTGTTTGGATGAGACAAATAGACCAGGAAAGTAATAAATGGCATTAAAAAATGACCTTAAGTCATTTTTAAGCTAAGTGCTTAAAAATCAGGAAATGCCAGAACTAGTTTGCGAGAGCCATTGTATGCAGCCTGTTTCTAAAATAGTGCAGTATCTCAGAGATCTTTTACTACCTTCACTGCAAATGAATTATAGCTTTTTGTTTGCTATTAATACTTGTTTTTCAGGGTTGGTGGAAGATATGAAAGGATAAGCAGCATAGGAAATAGGACGGGGGTTTCAGTTCCTTTATCAGCAAGCTGTGTGTTATGTAGCTGTATGAAAAGGAATTGCCATGCTACATGTGCTGCAGTTGTACCGCTGGAGCCAAAGTCCTCCTCAAAAGCGCACGGAGATGTTTTGAGCATACCTCCTGGGTGCTGAGCCTCCCTCATCCCTGTGGTTTCTTGCAGCTCGTGGAAGGTTTGAGGTGACGGCGGGTTCCAGSCATGGAACGGTGCCGAGCAGCCGTGGCGACCAGCGGCCGGAGCTGCGGTAGCCACAACAGAACGCGGTGCCCAGTGCCGAGCGGGGCGGTCACTGCGCGGCTGCAGGCGGCGCCAGCTTTGGCTTGGAGCGAAMGCAGATCCACCTTTTCCATACTGAGCGATTACCTGACCATGCCACGATCTGCTAAACCATAGCCATGAGCGGTGGGCTCAGTGGTCTTGGTCTTAATATTTGGAGCAGGCTCTCTGCGGCTTGGGACCGCCTGTTCAGTGTCTTTGTCGACCAGGTGGCTGTTGCAAGTTTCGTTTCTCCAAAGTTTTGCTTGTAGCATCTGACCAGCGGCCTGTGCCTCAGTTTGCCAGCGTGGAAGCCGCAATGGCTGTGACATTGGGTCAGGAGTGCTTTGTTAATGGGCCAGGTTGTGCCTGAGCCCTGCGGAGCATCGGCTGCTGACGAGCGGGGCCGGGCTGAGTGTGCTCCTGAGCGCGGCTGTGCTTTCCCGGGGAACCTCCGGAATTTTGGGTTAAGGCCACCAATGCCAAACTGTGCCCGAGAATTATTAGCAGATGAGTAGAAAATGAAGCCCCSTATCGCGATGGCCCATTAGGCACGTTAACAGCTGTTGGCGTGGTTTTTCTGCAGGCACCCACAGAAGCGATGCCGGAGCCGCAGGATGCCTCCCGCGGGCGCTGCCTGCGCCGGACCGTCAGCGTCCCCTCCGAGGGCCAGTTCCCCGAATACCCGGCAGAGGGGGCCGCCCAACTAGGTAAGARACACCTCGGCCACGGGAAATGCTGCAGCGCAGAGCTGCGAGCTCTCAGAGGGCAGCGCCCTGCCAGGACAGCCTGGCGAGGGGTACCACAGCAGGACAGGTGGAGGTCGTGCAGCCCAGGCTTTGTGTGTAAACGCCTCCAGCCGAGTGACWGCCAAACTCCAGGATTTATCCAAGCACCTGTGAGATGGTTATGGGATGCTGGAGGAGCATCGCTGGGTGCAGAGAGCTCTGTGGCTGTGTTTTTAAACTCACTAGGCAGCCCTGGGGCTTACAGGTGAGAGCGGCTGGATGCGGGTCAGTAGGAATGCAGCTCTTGCAGATGGCTCTAAGTGGTTCCTGCTGGTTTAGAACTGTTTGGTGGTTATGTTTTACCTCACCTTTGGAATTTCCTTTGCTTCATATTTTCACAACAAGCACCGAATAACAGGTTTTTCTCTAACTTGYCTCGTGCCTGTTCAGGGTGCAGTTCCTAAAAGAAGCAGCCATCTGCCTGCTGTTGCCTATAATTATCCATGTTGAAATTTAGGCAAAGCAAAAGAAAAGAAAGGTTTTAAAAATTACAGATAAAGGCTCTGTTGCAGTGGTTTCCCAAGTCCAGGTTTGGCCCAGTTCCCCTTCTTTTTCAGCCGACCTGTGGTTGCATAAAGAGCATCCTTCCAACTCTTTCCAGAAAAGAAGAGGCGGCAACCACACACAAGTGAGTTCTTTTTTCTCTTCCCAGCCTATGCAAGAAGCTTTCCTTGGCATAGGCTGGTGAGACCTAGGAGCAATTCTTCCCTAGTTCAGCTGTGAAAAATGTCACTCCTGGGAGAGTGAGCTATGAGGAAAAAACATGCATCTGTAAATAATAAAGTAGCCTTGATAACTGCTATCAAAGGTAAGGAGCAGATAAGGTATTTTTCATTTCACAGCCTCAGCTAGTTTTTTTAACTAAGAATTTTATTCTGTATATTGCACATAAGTAAGGATAATCCCACTCTTATAGATAGTTAATTAACACATTGCAACCTTAGTGCTTATTTATTTGTACTTGTCAATAGCACTATTTAATACTTCCATATTTGAGGAAGGCTTTTTTTATTCCTTAGATTCCTCGATCGGACATCTGAAAATAAACAGGGCAAAGTTGGGGATTTAGGAAGGAAAACTGCAAAATACTTTGACATGAGCAACATGAAAAGAACSCTGACTGGATTTGTTTGTGGCATTTCAAAGGCACCTCTAAATAATCATCTTGTTTTGAATATGWGAATAAATGTTCATTCTTGTTTGAAACTAAACCGAGTGTTAATCATGTTTACATGGTGTTGTAGGCAAAGTGCTTACTCCAGGTGTATGATTAGTGAGGTGAATGAAGAATTGTAYAGCAGCCAGTCTGCACTAGGCAGTGAATGTTATTTGTAGCGTCACAAGCTAGAAATCTAATATTTAAGTGCCTTCTTTTCTATACCATGTCCAAAAAATGTGTAGATTTTCTAGACTTCTTCTCAATAGCTGGAAATCCCAGTGYTATGTTTTTTAAATGGAACCTTGATTTTTCTTGGGGACCATAGAGAATGGATGACTCTGCTATTTGGTATCCATCTTGCAGTCTATTTTGCTTCAGTTTTTTATGCAACTGGCATCTTGTAGTGTGTTATTTGMTATATGCCTGAGAAGAATATATTAAAAGTACAAGATACCTACATAGTCTTCTCCACGTGAGAGCTGCAATTGTAGTGAATACAGATGTCATTGAGGTGTAGCCAAAGCAAGTGGGCATGCAGTGGGAGGGGAAAAGTTGAGCAATGYCCATTCTGTGAGGATGGCTGAGAGTGAGGGGAAGGGAAGGTTAAATATAATCTCTGATTGCTGAGTCCTAGGTARTTTCCTTGTTTTCACATCCTGGTTAAAATTGACTCTTGTCATGATTACAGAATTCCTGCTAATGGAAAAAGGTGGGTGGATAGCAAGCAGTGGGAATAGCTTTGTGTCAAGATGCTGAGCCAGAGGACACATTAGTGAAGGGAACCATTGCACATCTTTATACAGAGAAGGAAACAGATGGTGGCAGCCAGGACATATCACAAGCAGTACAGATAACAACTGTGCTAAAATAGCTTTGGAATGGACACCAAAAGCTGAAAGGCGCAGCAGAGGCAGCTACAGTATCTGGTAGAGAAATTGCTATGCAGAGCTGATAAGAATATCAAGCTTGTCCTAGGGAAGCATGTGGATAACATGGCAACTGCAGGCATTGCATCTGACAGTGATATCTGAAATTACTCCTTGCAGARGAACTCCTTAGGAATGGCTCTAGCCCAGAGGTGAAGGCAAAGCAATGGCATTTCTCTTTTCCCTAAGTAAGGTTGCCATATCTCCTTGTGATTTACTGATTAATAGATCTATTTATTAGAAATAAAAAAGAAGTGGGAGGAAAGGTGATGGGGCTCCTTTTCATTTGCAGCAGTAAAGTTATAACTTGTATGAGAAYCTTTTTGTTAATGGAGAAAATGGAACAGTGTGTTTTCTTCAAGGGCTTTGCATAATCAGCACTAGCACCCATTCTGCAGATTTCTGTGGCATTCTTTACAGYATTATGCACACATCCATGCAGCACCATTCCTAGGAAGTGTGTGGGAGAGAAACTACCCACGTTACAGCTGAGAAGTTGAAGCGAGAGATGTGTAAATGCTCCCCAAAGGTCAGCATTAAGTCAAGTGTGCTTCACCAAAGGGCTTCTGAAGTCATTCTCGCCATCTCTTTAATTTTTCCCCCTTGCTGCAGGGTTGGCTCAGCTGTTTGGGAGACAGCTGCTGCACCACCGTGGTTACACTCCTGTGTACTAAGATAGACACCAATTTCCACATACTTCAGTAGAGTAAGCTGTAATTTGTGATGGTTCAGCAGCTGCCAGAAGAGCAGCTGAGCCATCCCTTCTGTGCAGGCAGAAACCACTGTGGTCACCCTCAAAYGAGGGCCGGAGGGGCAGACACAGAAAAAAAAACCCAGGATAGAAAGTGACTTGTTTAAACACTGAAAACTAATAAGATCACTTAAAAACTGTAACTCCAGAGGCACTTAGCATCTACTGCTATCTTAGAAGCTTACCCTCTTCTTGCAGGCAGTGATGAGGTTGTTGCTAACGTTGAGACTCTTAATTCCTGTCCCTTCCAGAGTTGTGTCAGCAAGCTATCCGTTAAATACATGCCATGAAATTTCCTTGGTGCATAATCCCTATCTTGTAGTAATACCTCTGTGAGTGAACAGGCACATTCTAAATATGTCATTTAYTTGCTAGGATTTCATCTTGGCAGTACTTACTCAGAGGAGCCTCCATTCAAGAAAGCTAAAAATGTAGCTGTAATKTCTCCCTAACTCCAGCTTGACAGCCTCTAACTTCTTTTCAAGTGTTATTTGCAATGGGCCAATTCTGTTACAAAATGTGATTCTGGCCCTAGAAACCAGCACCCAAATGTCACAGGAAGAGGAACTCAAGCTGATCCATCTCCATTTCTGCTTCAGATCCTGCTCTTTTTCTAACAGGTGTATTTTTTCCTGTTAGGGAGATTACATCCTATTAAAGGATCATTGTTTATAATAGTGTGTTGGAATTATCCATTCATACAGTAAAAGCATGATTCAGATTTCYACCATTCATGCTGTTTGACAGGCTAGTAACAGTTACCACTTCCTTTCCCAAAATAATCATCTTCTCTCTTGCACTGCTTCCTTCTTGCCACCTGCTCACTCTAAATGAGAGTTGTTAAGGAGAACACACAGCAAAAGTTTGGATTTTGGCAGCTTTGTGGCATTAATAAGAGATTTTTTGCCAGCATATGTGAAAACACCAGGAGGGAATTGAAAGTGAGGAAAGGCTTTGGTATTTGGTCTTTGTTGCTGTTGGTTTTTTAAATTCTAAATTATTAGGAAAGAGCATCATCAGGGAGAATTATTGAGATTCTCTCATGTTTAGAAAGGCTTGTGGTGATGCAAWTAAATTTTCTTTTTATATTTGGAGGTGAAATCATTCAAGAAGAAAAAGACTGTTTCACTTTTTGAAACAAGTTAACCCTGCTTTTTCTCAGTCTAAATATGCATCTCTTGTAAAAAGGTGGCTGARAGCAGGTCAGAGGTGAAGATGCTCCTTGCAAATTCTAGTTTTCTCCTYACCCTGAGTCACTGGCATTGAAAATTAAGCCCTCATCTGTTTTGATGCCAGGCCCAAGCTGCATTGCTACCAGGTGAGAAGTTAGCTGGGCAGAAATCCTGCCTCTCTACTCTTCTAAAAATCCAGAGGCTTGGAATTGGAGTGAGCAACAGAAGATGAGTTAAGCAACATCTGCTTTCCTTGCTGCCTGGTGTGCACCTCTTAGAACAGTTCCTGCAAGTCTCTGCTGAGCCCTCCTGCCTGGGGAGGAATGCTCCAACACCCAGCCCGTTCTTTTTCTTCTGGTAAAAAACCTGGCAGGAGAGAACAGACAAGAGCTAAAAGGATTTCTGCGGTGATTTTAATAACTGCTGTTTCTAAGACAAAGTTGTTTACAACTAAAACTATCAAAGCTGAGCCTTGCTTTCTGTATATTCCAGCTGGAATGAGCATTTTTGATGAAAGAATAAATAGATTTACTCTGTGCTCCCCACATAATTATGAACCTTGTGCACTAAGAGCTAGGATGAATATCTGGAAARGGTTACTAGTTTTAGAGGTGGGGAGAGGGAGACATTGCAAGAAAATGGATTGTGATCTGCTCAATGGAAGAATCTACAATGCACCAACTTTTACATTCAGCAAAGGTTTTTACATTCAGCAAATATTTATTTAGGAGATATGCAGGAATTTGATGTAATGGAAGTCCTGCAACTTCTAACAAAACTGTGTGAGGCCAAGAGGGCTGTTCTTCACCTTCCACCACTCAACTTTGCCTACAAAGAATATCTGTTAGAAAGTAAGGATGAAAAAATGTGCTTCGCAGCTCCCTGTATCTCATCTGTGGGGATTTATGATGTGT